AAAAACTATTACAAGGGTTCTTCTGTGATAATATGGTTGGGAGCGGCTGCTCAATACAGTAGTGTTTAGAGAGGGAGAAGCAGCACGGGAAGCCAATCACTCGTGCTACAGTGCTCATATGCTAATTAGGAGCATTGTGATAGGAGGAGAGAGAAAGAGAAGGAGATGAGCACATCAGTCTGCTGCTTCTACTTTTACTGTCCAGTCACTGGCTGATGGAGGGACAAGACCTGTAAGTGTTACTGAACTGCGTTAAAAAAAAACAGGTCCTTAGTCCTGTCAGACAGGGCTTTATGAGGTGTCAGAGCTTTGTAAATCTCAGGACTGAATAGACAGAAATACAAATCCTTGGCAGGAAAAACAGCTCACATTTATGTATTTCATGTGTTTTGCCCTGACTTCAGCTGAAGCCTGTATGTACTATTCCTAAACATGTTTGCCAGCATCGCTCTTCCATCACTTTCAGCTGTTTAAATCATGTCATAGCTGTGCATTCGATATTAGAAGTTGTACACAGACTTCCAGCTATTAGTTCTCAACAGTCTGTTGGCAGGCCTTCTAATCTTTCATTTTCATGCAAAATGTTTTTAAAGAAACGACATCTCAGTGTCATGGCGGCCAGTCACGGTGATGTATTGAGCCGTTCACAGGGGAGAACATTGCTTTGCAGAGCAAGTTCTCCAGAGTGGACATAATGTTCAGAAACACTGACAGGGCCGGCAATTAATTACATCATCGAATGTTTCCTCTGAACTTCCTGCAGCCTGTTGTATGCCTGCCGAGAAATGTTTGATTTTTAAATACTGAAATGTCAAAGAGTAACAGGGGATAAAAGGCATGAAGGGGCGGCGTGGAATAGGAATTAACATATACATTCATTTTCCCCTATGTTGGTCACAGTCTCTCCCTCCTCTGGCCAAAAAGGGTGATTTAAGGTATGAGGTTCGAAGGTCAGATAGGCAATACTTAACTGTGTGGTCCAAACACTCCAGTCCAAAGGCTGCAAGCCCTGATGTGGTCAACTTGTGGGTCCTGCATCTCTCTGGCTATTGAATAAGACTTATGCGGGTTCAACAATTAGTTACAAATTGCAGATTTTTCTCTGCTGCAGTTAAGTAACACTTATAGGTGCCCCCACCCCCTACACACACACACACGCACACACACACACACACACACACACACACACACTATGATTGGACAGTGAAAGGAGAAGCAGCACATCTCTATCACCCTGTTCACTCCTGTTATCTGCTATCACCGGTTTGTGCACGAACATTGCAGAACAACTGATTGGCTTCTTCAAAAGGCTAACATGAGATCAAATCTTGGTTCTTACACTGCACACATTAAAAACATAAATACATTTAATGATGTGTGAACCTCTTTATGATAGCATAATGCATATACACTATCTGACAGCACAGTGGGCCTTAATCCCTCCCCCCTCCGAACTGACACCACTAGCTCATGGTCAACTACCACTGGTCAGGTGGGAGTAAGGGATCATGACAGTGCAGCAAATCACAGTGAATGATAAACTGGGCGCTCCTCCTGCTGGCCTCCAGAGTCACGGCACATTTATATAATGACTACAGAGCTGCAATACTGTATTTTGTGTGGTTTATATCCACCTGGAGTTCAGCTTTTATTTGAATTCTGTGTCATTATTTATTATTGGTATTTTATTTAGCACAGACTATTTCTATCAGTCTCTGCCTTCAAGGAGCTTACAATCTAAAGGTCCCTATCTCACATGCATACATACAGGGCCAATTTAGACAGGAGCCAATTAACCTTCCAGCCAGCATGTCTTTGGCATGTGGGAGGAAACCAGTATACCCAGAGGAAACCCACCCAGGATTCAAGCAGGGAACCTTAGTGCTGCAAGGCAGAAGCACTAACCGGTACACCTAGACCGAGACCAGTATATGCGTATAAAAGTACAAAATGTATTGATATGCAACAGATATATTTAACACCAACATTTAATTGCTTCCCAAATTCCTAATAAAAGAACAATGTTGTACATAGCACTAAATCATTCACTCAAACATTCAATGGGCCCCATACACACTCAGGCAGAATTTGATTCCTCGATTTTTTCAGGGGGTGATGGTTAGATGGAACTTCTATTTTCAGACACAGTGAAGATCTTAATATTAACAGTCTGCCGATCAACAGGGAGTCCTGTTGATCAGGAGTCCCTGTTGATCGGTACATTTTGATACATACTAATGGACTGAGGACTGAGCTCCTCTGCAACAATCGGATGAGATTGACCATAAACAACCCGACCTCGAGGGATTTTACTACATCATACACCAAGTTAAATATTCTTTATTAACATCATCCTTTTCCACATAAGGATAAGAAAATTCATAAACAATCCCCTTTAAATCACACCTTTAAGGAGAAAGACTGTTAATATTAAGATCTTGACTGTGTCTGAAAATAGAAGTTCCACTTTCTGGATCTAACCATCACCCCCTGAAAAAAAATCGAGGAATCAAATTCTGCCTGAGTGTGTATGGGGCCCATTGAATGTTTGAGTGAATGATTTAGTGCTATGTACAACATTGTTCTTTTATTAGGAATTTGGGAAGCAATGAAATGTTGGTGTTTAATGTATCTGTTGCATATCAATAAATGTTGTACTTTTATACGCATATACTGGTCTCGGTCTATGTAGTAACCACTAATTCCAGTGCCTTTATCTCTGGAAGACTCCGCTTTTTTCCTATATCTTTAATTGGTTACAAGACCTTGAGAACTAGTTCAACCTTTACACAAAAGGGATTTCCTAGTAGTATCTCATCTCCAGAAAATATTTTCTTTTTGACTACCCGGTACACCACTGTGTCATCCACTGCAGACAATTTCCACAAGGCTCCCACCTATGAGGTGGTTGGGTCTACGTCCTAAATCTTTGTTTAACTTCATTTTCTCTTTGCTTGATATATTTCCAATCACATTCAACTTTCCAGGGTAGGTTTGAATAGGATTGATGGTGTTCATGTCTGAACTCAGATACATCAGGGTCTCTGTATGTGGCAGACTACAATGGGTGTGTTTAGGAATCTTTCCTGCATAGCAAACAGTTAAGTAATAGGGGGATCCTAGATAAATGGCACAATGGAAGTGGATAAACCGGTGCACCGCAGATACACCTGGATAAAAATGGAGGCACTGAGCTTGTAGGATGAGCTACCTGTATGCATTTTAAAGCTTAGTTTTTAGAGTGCAGCTTCAAGACTACTTTAGCCTAAAATTATTGTTTTACATAAAAAAAGTTCAGATATAATCTTTTGTGCTAAAACTCAGGAATGCATCTTTAAAATAGGACTGTACATGAGTTTAACTTTAATGTTCCTTAAATTCTAAAGGCTCTTTTGTGAGATTGTTCTATTTTAGGCATTCCAATATGTAACATCTCAAATGTACCTCCTGGTGTTTGAAGGTCACCGAAAAACATATGCAGATTGTGCTGATGCTCGGAGACTGGATGGAGAATGCCGGAGTTCTTTTACTGCCCCAGGGGTCACCAATGCAATCAGCTCCGAACCCCAGAACGCCTACTAACACAATCATATACAACATGCAATTACCTGCGCATACCCACAATGCCTTGCAGATTACCACTAGAGATATGTTGTGTAAGCCATTACATGACAGTTGCCTTCACCTCTTCCAAGGTTATGCTTCTCTGTATCGGATTCTTACAAAATATAGTATGAATCTAAAAAATATATAATATGTGTCTGATCTTAAAGGAGAATTCCACCCAAAACAGATTCACCCATCTATTCTTAGTAGAGTGGGATAGGGAGTCAGTCCCTGGTGTAAAGTTTACCATTCTTCAAAACTTTAGTAGATAGATTTATCTTTTAGCTCCTAGCCTGGCTGTAACAGTAAGTAAGGTCTTCATATATTATTATGATTCATCACGCTACACTAGTGGATGATCCATCTCTGTGTTCTGGTACAGGGGGTCACAAAGCTTTTCCACATTGAGCATCATGTTCACAAGCATTAATCAACCGGCGGTGTACAATAGCGTGTTGTAGTCTTACACTGTCCTCAAATTTTGCACTCAGATGTACTGCTAATGGCAAGGTAAATTCAATAATTTTTATATAATTGAGCTTGGATTAGCGCCAATGAACACACTTCAGGCCTCAGATCAGCTGTAGTGCATGCACCTTCAGACCTGAGATCAGCCCCAATGCATGCACCTTCAGATCTCAGATCAGCCTCAAATGTCTGCACTTCAGACCTCAGATCAGCCCTAGTGAATGGATCAGCCCCTGTAAATGCACCTTCAGACCTCAGATCAGCCCCAGTGAATGCACCTTTAGACCTCAGGTCAGCCCCAGTGTCTACACCACAGACCTCAGATCAGCCCCAATGCATGCACTTCATACCTTAGATCAGCCCCAATGCACACACTTCATACCTTAGATCAGCCCCAATGCACACACTTCAGACCTCTCATCAGCCACAATGCATGAACTTTGGACCTCAGATCATCCCCAATGTATGCACTTCAGACCACAGAGCAGCCGCAATGCATGCTTTTCACACCTCAGAAGAGCTCCAATTAATACATTTCAGACCTTAGATAAGCCCAACTGCATAAACGTCTGATCTCATATCAACCCCAAACTCTATCTTTAGAAACACAAGGTACTGCTGTAAGCGTGTGTTTGGGCTTATTCTGCACAGCACCCAGACATCCAGAGTTGACAGCCTAGTAGCTGTCAATTACAGCCAATGACAGTGCAAACAGCATCTTGGGCAACCATGCCAGAAGTTGCTTGTTCTAGTAGAATCACCATAAAAATAGATAAGCAAGAAAGGTGACCACTCTGCCTATTGCAGGAAAGCTACACCCATCATTTCATACATATGGTCAATTTAGTTAATCTCTGGCACAGCTTGTGTTATGTGGCTGTTAGATTTTGAAGCACACCTTAAAAAATGCCATTTATTCTCCAGGTTTATGCATAATATCCCCAAAGGAAAATGTTGATTGCAAGCACTATGACAGCATTAATATTGCACACATTTCTCCAGAAAGGCTCTTCTTTAATGCTAGTCAATTTCTTCTGCAGGTTCTGCTTTTGTTCTTCAGTCATTTGGACCTCAGGCTGCATGGAGATACCACAGAACCAGTAACAGAGCTTCTTCCACCATGGGAATGAAGGGGCTGCAGTTAAAAAGAGCATATACCATTATGCAAAAAACTAGACAGCAAAATAGCTTTGTAAATATGTCCCAAATAGGAGAAACAAATAGAAACATATAGTTTAATACTCACCTACATGGCCTTCCTTCTGTACTTGAATAGGAGACACGACATCTTGTGTCTCTGGTATTACATTTTCTGTGTAGCACAAAAAGTAGAAATTACTATACAAAAATATAGATACATAAAGGGCCGATTCACAGCTATGCTTGATGGCAGCACACATTAAATGCATTCGCGCACTGTGATGCCATTAAAAATCAGTGGCACCCTAATGGACTAAAGTAATGCAACTGTTACTGTAGTGCACTTCCATACATTGTGGAGTACTGTGTCATAAAGAGTAGTTAGTGCAGGTCTGTTTTTTTTTTTTTTTTGATGCTTTGGCTTCCCATTTAATGCAACGTTAACATAGATTTGTTAACACACCACAAATATCACAAATGCTTTTTCGGTACACATTCCCACAGAACCTTTAAAACCCGGAAGGGTGGAAGTTGTTATAGGAAGGGAGAGGGCAACTCCAACAAACTGATAAAAGCGTAATGGTCAGATGTCCACAAATGTTTGAACAAACAGTAGGTATGTTCAGATACCAGTTCAGATACCAGTGCAGACACTTGGCATTTTCATGAGGACTACCAGGGTTGCAGCGTTTGTAGCTGGGACCTGGCTCTGGTGCTCCACCACTGTCCTGAAACCATTAGTCGATATTGTTTTAGAAAAACTGTCACATGACACTAAACAAAAATGTATCAGTACTTGTATCTGTGAGTACTTGGACAAGTATCAGTACTCGTACTTGAAAAAATGGTATCGGTGCATCCCTAACAAACAGTGTATATTATTTTGATAAAGTTACCTGGCTCCTGCTCCAGCTGGGAGCCATTGGTGGTGAGCTCGCTGGCATCTTGGGATGAGGAAGTTTGACAAATAATGTTCTGATTTGGGTCTCTTCTTGTCCACCAAGTTAAACTTGCAAGCTGAACAAAAATAAATGAGGCACATATTAATGGTCAACTCCACATTTTACAGATTTTATAATGTTGGTAGAGAAAAACCTCCTGAAGGTGCAGATGTGAATATTTTAAGAGTCGCCATTTGCTAAAATGCTCCATACTAGTGTTCTCATTAGCTTATAAACAGACATGAGAGCTACAGCAGCTGGCATTACACATCTTTTTGATGAAAGTTGCCCAGCTGTCATTCTTGCCATGAAAGTAGGAGAAAATCAGAAGTCCTTATCTTCATATACAGTAAGTTCCAGACTGAACTTGTGTGTGTATGTTTATGTGTTCACTCACCTCCCGATCTACTGAGCCGACCTGTGACAGTCTCATTGTCACAGGTCGGCTAGAACTATGAGGTGAGTGAAAATCACTCACCTCATAGTTCTCCTTTAAGTCCCACAAATACCTGTTGAGCCTGCCAGTGAAGTCCACCTAATGCAACTTGTTGTCATGGGATGGTAACTATGCTGCACTGTCCTAAATTCAGAGGAGAGTTGCCACTCATGTAGGCTGTGTCTGCTTGCATTACAGTGGAACGAAAAAATTTATGCAGCAGGCATGGCTATCAGCATTGTTACAGCTGCTTTACAAGCATGCAGCTTGTCATTGAGCACCTGGCCACACCTAGTTAGTCCCACAGTTTTCTGGAGTTTGTTTACCTTATGAGGCTTTTGCATTTCATAGTACCTTGTTTTTTCATACTTGTTTAGACTTTAGCCTTTATATGTATTTTACACATGCTTTTTCTTATGCACGTTAGAATGTGTTGTGTTTGAATTCTGGCAGCTGTAACACTGCAAAATTAGGTCCATTATAAGTTCTGGCCACCATGTTGGGTAACCAAGGGGCCCCTGTGCAACACCAATGTTAGGCTTATTCAACTGCTGGCTAAGTAAAGATGTATTTAAAGTGCATTTAAAGCCCACTAGATAGATGTGAACAGTGTTCCAAATCAATATGATGCTGGGAGGGGGGGTCCAAACACCCATCTGATATTTAGTAAAAATGGTTCCCTGAGCCCCAGAGTGCCCTTGTGTAATAAATGAGGCACATATTAATGGTCAACTCCACATTTTACAGATTTTATAATGTTGGTAGAGAAAAACCTCCTGAAGGTGCAGATGTGAATATTTAACATGGACAAATGTTATGCCCACCCTTGCCACACAGTTCCAAGAGAGTTAAAGATTCTAAGATAGGTGTAGCCATACCTAAGATTTAATTCTTGGCTGTGTGTATGTCCATCTATGTTTGTCAGGTTTAGTCTTTCCTCCCTGTCTGTGTCACTTTTGGTGTATTTTAAATTATTAAAGTGAAGCACCTGACAATGTAGTGCAAAAGGAAGCCGCATACTGCCTTTCATAGCTTGTATACTTTAATCAATAAAAATCTAGTGTCCACCATGGAAGGCGTAATGGAAGGTTTTTTATTTTTTGCCATCTGTATCTACAATGATGGACCTCCCTTCCCTTTCTGTCCCGGGGACACAACAGGAAATTAAAAGAACATCCCAGTTGTCAGTTGTTGCTGTATCAGTTTTGCCAACTGATAGATTTCCCCTGTATTTCTGCTAATGTAGCCCTTAACAGTGACATTTACTGACTTCCTCTGTTCTGCTAAAATTATAAAAGGTAGTGAGGGGGACTCTCCCCAACAGAAACACAGACAGCAATATGTTCTAACCCTTCCCCAGTCGAAATGTAAAGTTTGTGCTGAAGTCCTACGTTTATTAGAATTTATTCTAGATGTCATTATACAGAATCAGTTTTCAGGTGGTGGGGGTCCTCTCCGCACACCTTACAGCAGTCCTGGCCAAATAAGAACGGTGGTGCTCGCAATGACTATCACGGATGGCACCGTGCAAAATATGAAGTAAAAGAAACAGGTCACCAGCACTCGTTTAGAATAAATATGTCCTTTTTTAATGGACAATTGTGTCACTACAATCAACAAAGCCAACGTTTTGGGGCCGCACAGGGTCCCTTCTTCAAGGCAGTAAAATTTTACTGCCTTGAAGAAGGGACCCTGTGCGGCCCCGAAACGTTGATTGTAGTGACACAATTGTCCATTGAAAAAGGACATATTTATTCTAAACGAGTGCTGGTGACCTGTTTCTTTTACTTCATTATACAGAATCAGGCTGGATTTGGAAAAAAAAACGTACCTGCTCTTCAGGAATGGCTGGGGTGCACAGACTAATCACAGTGCAGATAATAATTGTCAAACCAAAAAGAATTATTGTAAAGTACAAGTAATGAACATCCTTAACGATTGATGGCCGATTGTCCAGCTGTCCGCACTTTGGTTGACCGTATACAAAATCCATGACCATTCGGATTAATCCAATTAGCAGCCCACTAATCAGAGCCCAGAACGCACCCTTTTGAACACAAGAAAAGAGAAGGTGTTTAAAAAAAAATGAATCCAGGTATGTATATAAAAATAAAGTTTCTCTTTATTTTCCTTAAGGAAAAATCCAAGTATATGTAAAGCATTTTTTTCAATTTTGGATAGTGTAGGGAGTGTGTAAACCCTTTTTTGGGAGATTTTTTCCTTCACTTCCTGTTGTGAAGGCACAACATTAAAAATGTTTGAACACAAAATGTAGCAAAAGGTGTGCTTGACCTGCTTTATCTCCAATGCAAGCTCATCCCAAGAGGACCTGCGGCATCCAAAACAGGTTGAACACAGCCTCAAAATGGCCATCCAAACTACACCATTGAAGTAAATAGAAATGTACAGGCTTGTGCACTTTAGTCACGAAAACAACACTAGCGTTATTTTGCTCTGGAGAAATGTTCCAGTACTGAATATTAGAGATAAGGTTCTGAGTCAAAATGTAACCTTACCTGCTCATTGACTCTCTTGAAGAAGATAGCAAGAATAAATATGGCAGTCAGTGGGGGGGTCAGGTAGCTATTAATGGATTGCACATAATCAATTATTCCACTGCTAGTGGCTCGGATAACGGGGATCCAGGCGATGCTGATCACTACAAGGACTGCCGTGAAAACTCTGAAAGAAAAATATATGAATTAGATCAGATATGAATCTAGATAGATTTTTTTTTCTTTTTGTTGTTTTGGATAGAGTAAGGAGGAGTAAAAATTAAAACCCAGATTTTATCTAGGGCCTCACTAGAGGTTTCCCCTCCCTGCCCGTCCCTGTGACCCACCACAAGTACCAGGACGGGAAGGAAGGGACAACAATGAAACATTGTCATAAATTCCAACCCTTTCCCGTTCACTTCTTTCCCCTTGTTCCCATTATCAACATTTGCAATTACTTCCTGTCCTAACATTAAGTGAGGATAGATCTCCCTAATGGGACAAGTCATTTACCCACCTTAATACTTGCAGAAAGTCCAATTTATTTACAGCATGATAAATAATAATAATGATAATAATAATACTAATAATATTAACATCACACCATGGTGTAATGTTTTAGAGCCTCATGACTCTTTTATTAAAAGAGAACTATGGGGTAAGTGTTTTTCCCCACAGTTCTCTTAAGGGTCACGGGAGAACATTTACTGGCGTCCTCCCGTGACCCAAAGCTCAGTATATCGCGAGCTACAGCTCACTGTATACTAAGACCACCGCGGCCGGGACGGATCCCGACATGTCGAGATCCACCCAGCTGCGTGAGTGACAGCTGGCTTTGCCTATCTAGAGGTAGAGCCAGCTGTACCCGGGGGAGAATCCCTCAGGGAGCCGTGACTGACAGTCACCACTCTCTGCAGGGAGATGATCGAGAAGTGAGCGAGCGCCGGTATGTGTTCGCTCACTTCCCGATCTATTGAACCGACGTGTGACAGTTTCATTGTCACACGGCTCAAACTATGAGGATGAACGATGTTCACTCACCTCATAGTTCTCCTTTAAGGGATGTAAGACTCAGGAGTCTCCCTCTGAAACATTGTACTATGCTGTGATTTTATTCATTACACAGTAAAATTGCACTTTCCTCAAGAATTAAGCTGTGCTGACAACGTATTCTATGGATGTTTTACACATTAACAGTTGTTGGTCATTAAAGCAGCCACCCTAGGATTGATCCTGCTGTGGCGAGTGATGGAAACAGGTTTATCGATCTGTTCAATAGGAACTTAGATGGCAATTCAAATCTGATAGCGGTTTTCACCAAAACAAAATACATTTTTGCTGGACGTGGACATGCACTGAAATGCACTCTTGAGAGAAATCTAGGTCTTACCGTAGTTGCCTGGCAGGGCTGTGTATCAAAAATTGGCTGAACAGAATTACATATTTTTGGGGGGAGGAATAACAAATCACAGTTATGTATCAACTGTTTATTTAGCTTTCTGCCTATCGTGAAGCTTTACTGATTAAAAGTGTTGAACTGCATTAAACATTACATTCAGCATTCCATTGCATTAGAGTGACACTAAACTCAGGAGTTAAAAACCTAACAATCCATTCAAGTACCCTATTTAAAAAATGTATCTTATTTGTATATCACTCGGCTTTAGATCCTCAAATCATCTCTGAATTGGTGTTGACCCTGTCCTTCCTTCTGGGGGGGGGCTACTTTTGTTCCCCAAGCTGGCCTGAGGTTGTGTTCTTGACATTGGGTTCACAGGAAGCACATTGAACGGTGCTAGCCATCATTCATCCTAGAAGAGGGCCAGCACTGGACCACAGGGGCAGAACTGGGAAAGGGGGCAGTGCTGGAAAAGGTAAGGAGTGCATTGCAAATGTTTTTAAAAAATTATTATTATTTTCAGAAAAAGGGGGGAGGATCTGTACAACCCAGGAATCTCAAGATGGGCTTTAACCAGTAAGGAGAGGTACTTACCTACCCACAATCATAAGCTCCGATTCTTTTGCATGCTTGCGGAAAAAAACCCAGATGTCCAGCGTAAAAATGGTGCTGGCGCTATTAAAGATGGAAGTGAGCGAACTCATCAGGGCAGCCATTATTACCGCTATCATTAATCCCTTCAGTCCTAAAACAGAAGAGATCTACAAATCATCCCTGGGGGAAAAAAAACCTGTGCACAAATTAAAAAAGTATCACTTTGCCCATAGCAAGTTGGCCTTAAAACCAGCAGCCTTTTTTTTCTAACTCTACCAGTGTATTATGTTGCTCACTATCTGGTATGTATATATGTGGTAGGCTAATTAATTAGCCGGATTTGTGGCAGGAGCCCCACACATTTAAACTGCTCCGTCTCCCACTCTCACCTGTCGGCTCATGGGCGTCATCCCACCCGCCTCACCCCCTTTTTCAGTTATCTTTTACTCTTGAGTATGCCCCCTTATTTTGCATACTGAACATAGTGACCACAGCACACCTCAGGTCATTGTAGGCAGGTCCATCATCTCGATTGCTGGGTATGTATCAGTGGGGCTTTGACCACAAATATATTTAACAGATCATATAATCTGTATTGTTACAGGCAAAACATTCTAATGATTTCATTTAAAGTGGAGGAGATTTAATTTTGTGCTAAACCAATCTGAGCATATTACATAACTACATACAATGGAGTACATCAGTCTTATTGCACAAATGGGCAATTCTAAGCAGGAACAATGAGGCGGGTTTACTAAGGTTACAGCCTAGACCTAAATCATACACTTTCCCTCTGCTGCTCTAAAGTATCACTGGAATGGAGTAAAAAAAAAACCTGACCCTGCCCAGTTCTTTATTGTGCGTCTGGAGTGGAACTTTTTCCCAGCACACTCACAAGCCAGCATGCAAAAAAACTTGTCTCACCACTAAGGTTAAAAACAGAGGTTTAGATACACATCTTCTGTAGAAAATGTGAAAGCGGCACAGCCGTGTCAAGGCACCTCTGTGCGTTTTTCACATTTTCTGCAGAAGACGTGTATCTAAACCTCTGTTTTTAACCTTAGTGGTGAGACAAGTTTTTTTTGCATGCTGGCTTGTGAGTGTGCTGGGAAAACTTTTTGCTGTTTGTACTGTATTAGGCCCTTCCATGTGCACCTTGCTGTAAAGCTGGTAACAAATTGATGGGTGCGTTTGCCATCTGTTTTGCTGGAGTGGAATTGTGTCTCATCCTCTGTGACAAATCTATCTCAGACTTTTTTAAATCTGTCATAGTTGACTAACCCAGGATTACTGGCACAGGGGGTCACAGAAAAACTGTGACACAGAATTCCCCATGTGCATAATTTACAAACAACATGTCCCCCAACATCATGTGTGTATTATGAACATATGAAGGAAAAAGCTCAGTTACAATCATATGTTTTTTACAATTGCTAAATGTACAACACAGAGAAGATCCATCATGAAAAATCATCTATACATCCTCTATCCTCTAAATGTATGTGTCATGAAATAAATATGTGGGGTGCCATTGCTTACCTCCTTTCGAAAATGTTAATTGCCTAGCTGAGTCTGACCTTATTAGGAATCATCATCCGGAATAAGCATGGAGCAAATGAAAATCAGAAAGTTTAAACTCCTTATTTCTACATTTGACCCAGGTCAACGACTTATGAATTTAAGCCTAAAGCATAAGAATAGAAGCCAGGGAACTAGAATGCGTAGAAGGAGGTCAGCAATAACTCCCTGCTAGGGGTGCAAGCAGGGTTGGATTTACTCTCTCTGCTGCCCCAAGGCCAGGTTCCTCCATGCGCCCCCCCTCCCCGCTGGAGAATGGCAACCAGATGGCAGGGTTGGTTTAAATTTTTTTTTTTTTCCCTTTATTTTTTTAAAACTTTTTTATCACTTTCTTTTATTTTGTTTAATTGTTGTTATTATTATTTTTACTTTTTTAAATTTGCATATATCGAATTATGTTTTACTTTTTTATTTTTTATCATTTCGATATGTTATTTTTTACTTTAGTACTTTTTTATTTTAATTATTATTTGTTATTATTTTTACCTTTTTTTTCCAATTTTTATTTATTTTATTCTCTTTTACCTTTTATCCATTTTTTTCTCAATTAACTTTATTGATATGACATAGGAGCTAACAAGCCCCGTGTGATAGCATTTGGAGGTGACAGGTTCTCTTTATTGAATCTCTCACCTACAATACAGGAGTTTTAGCACAGTACTGTACTGGCTCTCCTGTCACAGTTGAGATGGGTAGGCTGCGAGTGCTCCTCTCCCGTCTCAGTGTTTACACAGGGCAGAGCGGAGAACAGTCCCCGCTCTCCATACTGAACTACCTTGCCGTGGTCCTGGGTCCCCCAGAAGAGTGGGGGACCCCAAAAACCACGGCAGGGAGGGAGGTGGCCAGTGGAGACAGAGGCAGCCGGAGGTGGGGGAGGAACAGGAGGGGGGGCGGCTGGGGGCGGACAGACCTGCAGGCATATTACAAGTGATCTCGGCGGTATTGCCGGGATCACTTGTACTAAAACACTGGCTTCTCCGCACTACATGTAGAGAAAACTACCTGCCCTGCAGCTGCTGCCGTGAGGCCAGGCCTCGGTGGCCTTGTGGGAAATCCAGCCCTGGGTGCAAGGATAAGTATGTTCTTCTTTTATAGCCCCCTAGACCTAACAAAGTTCATGAAATCCTTACTATAGAAGGGGGGGAGGGAGCTACCAAAAGGTACATTTAACAAGCTGACCAGAGGTCTGCTTTCATGAAAAACAATGTGGTGAATGAGGTCTTTAATTCCAAAACAGGCAACATGAGAATGTTCTCAAAAACAACATAAACAGCTATCTAGCTATCTTTCTATCTAACTTCTGGTACCTTTGTTGTTTCAAGCCCTTGACCTCAGAGATAAAATTAGTGAAACATTAAACAGTAATGCAAAAGTGATATGAATTTTGATTAATGGTGGCCAAGGTCGTTTAAAGTTTAGTTATATTTACCAATCATAAAAATATGAGTTACGTAAAACAACATTTTCTCTACGAATTTACAGTGAGCTGCATTTTAGAAGTTTAGTCGGTGCATTTTCAAGATTTTTTACCCTAACTGCACTAGTAGGACTATTAGAGGTGTGGGGGGAGTAAAAGGCACAAATAGGGCTGAGACAGTGATAGTTTATGGGCCTCTTGTAAAAGATTGTAGGTGTTTATACACTACCTGTCTGTAAGCTGTGGGATAGCTTCTCATGGGTCCTTGAGCAAAAAGCTTCACAGAAGCTCTCCAAACACACAGGTTTAGCATTACAAGGGCTTCAGGTTCAGAATGGAAAAGGCGGAGATGCTGAAAACATTGTAAGGTACTTTCAGTGCTGCAGCTCCATTGATATCACTAGCCTTGGGACCCAAGCCTGATCTGTACAGCTCTACCCAATAGAATGTTCTCAAAAGATGGCCTTCATTATTTATTTCTTTACGTAGCATGATTAAAGGAAAGCTGTATCGATGGAATTTGGAGACTGACATTTTTGATCAGTTTGAAAATTCTCTCTGCAATGTGAATCCAATGTCTTTAATATTTTGAGTGACAGATCTGGAACCTATATGTGGACCAGGAGATCTGCCTTCACTCTGACTTTCTAACCTACGGGGCAGTGACTAAGGAAGTAGAAAATCAGACAGCTAGTCAACTTGTACATCTTTCAATCTTTCAGGTCAGCAATGGCAGCCCTCCCCATATCAGTTTCCCTTTAGTTGGGTTCACCCTGAAATCTGAAAAAGATTTACAAGCTAGGGTGGTCATTGTAAGAGGGAGGGACATGGTTCCGGCTTCCATTGATGGACATCTCCTGCATAGGAGAATCCTTGCCCCCTGACTGGGGTGAACACTATATGGTGGGCTTGTCACTGTAGTTATGCAGGACTATCCATGTAGACTGATCAACGGTTGATGTCCAATTGTACTATGCTGTCAGCAAGCCAGAACCAGTCTATGCAGCCAAAGGTCTGGGTGAACAACTGTGCATGCGCATAGTTCGGAGCATAGAATTGAGCACGTCTACGTGTGGGTTCCAGGGCATGGGCATGGACGTGCGAATGCGCTTATTTGAAACTGTGCCACCAAATGGGCTATTTATGGCTCAGATACTCTAGCCTTCATGCTGACTGATCTTCAGCTGTTCCCTGCTATCATGTTGCTATAATTTTCCTGACCTGACCAACCATTATTTAACTGGCATGCCTTGACCTTCTGCTACTGCTCTGCATCTAGTGACCTCGGCCTGTTTGGACTACTCTTTTGCCTGCCGTCTGGTACCACAGTGTCTGCAAGTTACGATCCGGGCTTTTCCTAACCATGTCCTGTCTGCTGATTCAGTACCGCGCTGCCTGACCATTTATAATCGGCTTATCTTGGCCCTGCTACCTGGATTCTGTGTCCTGCGCCTGCTTCCAGCCAGAAGACCTCTGCAACCTGTATGCAGAGTCTACATTACCTTCCGGCACCCATGCCTCTCCCTGTCCTTGCAAAACTGTTCCACTCTTCAGGGGACTGGAGCAGAAAGAGAGACTGCCCTCATCATCTCAGGTTCCCCTTAAGGTACATGAAATATACAAACCAGTAGAATTGAGGGCCAGTTCACAAGTTTGAGCACCGAGAATTCCCCTTTTTTTTTTGTTAACCGGGAGAGGAGCCACACTGGTTCAAGCTGCAAAGTTCAGAGCCTGGAAGAAGCGTCAGGTGCCCCAACATGACCGTTCCTGGGCAGTGACCTACACATAGGCAGGGACAGGATGACGGCCTCGAGTATCTTTGGAAAAAAGCCAGCCACAGAAGAACATATATCCTAACAGAGTTCTTTGATGGATTTAGGTGTGACTGAGCTGTAAGTTTGTTTTTTTTTTACTCCTAGCAACATGAACTACACCCCCTCTACCAATTTCTTGCTGAATTAAGATACAAATGTCCAGAGTAAGGCAAAAGAGGGAAACAAGTGATGGAAAATGATGAAGCTTTGTGGATGTCAAGGCTTTGTGCTATCCCCTTTAATCTGCAGCTCTAAGCAGTGGCCCACTAGTGCCATCACATACAACCCTTCCTAGAGATTACATAGATAACATCTGACTCTGCTACGGGTGAAGCCATCTTACCTACAGGCAGGAGTGTAATCACCAGCTTGGGATAGGCGATGTTGGCACAGCCCTGTTCAGAGCCACAGTACATCATACATTCTTTGGGGTCCACACAACCAATTTCATCTAGGAAGAAGAAGTATTATATGAAAAGGGGTTTTCTAATTCATCTGTAGATGTATCCAATCCCATCTTGAATCCCTTGACAGTGAAAAGACCAACGTTTCCACATTAATTTAAAAGGTTTAATACAGATGAGTGTTGGCAGAGACTGTTTTCTTTTTCTTGTTCCGTTACATCATATTACAGATGATCTCCACTAAAACAGGTAAATGCCTAAATGAAATGCATATACGGGAGCTAATTTAACTGGCAAGGGATTTGTATTTCTGTCCATGCAGCCCTGAGATTGATATAGCTCTGTCACACAGCACAACCCTGTCTGACAGGTCAGGAGACCCAAATTTCTTCTGCTGCAGTTAAGTAGCACCTACAGGTCTTGACCCTGCCCCTAGTATTTAACTGGACAGTAAAAGGAGAAGCAGCAGACTGAGGAGCTCATTTCTGTCACTCTGCTCTCTTCTTTTCCTCGGTGCACAGCCCTGACAACACTGACAGCTTGCTGACAGGAGGAGAGTGCAGATTGGTAGGCTCATCAATGTAGTGAGTGTAGTCAGTTTATCCTCAAAATGTAGGTGTCCTGCAGAGTTTGGTTGAGTCCAGTTCACTTCACTGAAGAGCTCCTGGCCGCAGACATAGCCTGTCTACATGAAGTGCCCATGTGTCTTTATGTAATACTTACATTTCTTTCTTGAAACTTATTCCACTTGCTAATATCCTTTATTTATGTGAGTGAGAGGGTACATTTTCTAAATGAGTGCAATTTTGTCTTTATTAAGAGGTTGTATTAACATGGTTGTTCATCATGGTATAAATCGCACAGCAGCATACACATTCAAATTGTTCCAGTGTGTGAATCTGATTAATTTAGATGGGCTTAGATAGACTGTGCAGGATGGGTGCTGAGAATTACATATTTATACTTTAAAGGTAGGAAGAGAACAATGAAAAGAACCTACACAACCAGCTCATTATGTGGCATCTATATGGTAGTTCCTTGGAAGTGCTGCAACCAGGGCCAGATTTCTCACAAGGCCAACCGAGGCCCGGCCTCAGGGCAGCAGAAAATAGAGGGGCAGAAGGGGTTTGGAATTCCTTTCTCCCGACGACCGGGACATGCAGTTCCGGGCATCGGGGAGGTCGTTGTTTTCTACATTTAGTCCTGCTTTGGGCAAGCAGGGCTATATGTACAGCGGGGAACCTGCTGCTTGTTGTGTACAAACGATCTCGTCAATGTCGCTGAGATCACTTGTATGCTGCCTTGAGGAACCTGGCATTGGGGCAGCAGAGAAAGTAAATCAGGCCCTGGCTCCAGCAACACCTTATAAATGCCCCACATATGAAAGACATTGGGGGGGGGGAATTGATGAAAACTGGAGCAGACAGAATCTGGAGCAGATGTGCATGGTAACCAATCAGAATATCTCTTCAGTTGATTGGTTGACATGGAAGCTGATTGGTTGCCATGCATAGCTGCCCCTGATTTTGTCTGCTCCAGTTTTGGTAAATTCCCTTCATTGAGTCTTGTTGAGATAGCAGTGATTTTACTGGAATACGGTGGGCTTTAAGGAGTCATATTTAGGCTTTAGTCATTCATTGGCAAACATCTCCACATGAAATATACCTGGATATAGGGCCCTGCTGATCATCCCTGGCATTAAAACAAAGAAAATGGGCAACAGCTTCAAGTACCCCGCAAGGATAGATCCTCCTTTGGCATGGGAGAGGTTCTTAGCTGCCAAAGATCTCTGCACCATAATCTAAAAGAAAAAGAAAATAAATCAAAATTATAAACTCAATGGTCTAAAGCATCACTCCAACCAGAACTGATATTTTGGATATAAATAACTGGACTCCTGTTAGAGGTTTTGGATATAACAAGCACAATCATATTCCTCCTCCTGTTGTATAATATACAATCTAATATGGAGACACCTATGTGAGGATCATGGTGGACAGGAAGGTCTGGAAACTGAGTAAAGATGTCAGTGGGAGATCCTTTCCAAAAAATGGAAATGTTAGTTTTGGGTGGCATGTCCCTTTAAAACCAAATTTCAATGAATAAAAAAAAATCTTACTGTGAATTTGCACGGTAAAGCTCACCTGTAGCATTGTAGTAATGGATTATATTTCTTTCACAACAAGGGCCCGTCCGTTGTGGCCAGATGATCACGACATGGACTCATCCGTTGTGGTCACATGATCACAACAAGGGCCTGTCCACTGTGGTCACATGATTACAACAAGGACCCATCCACTGTGGTCACATGATTACAACAAGGACCCATCCACTGTGGTCACATGATTACAACAAGGACCCATCCACTGTGGTCACATGATCACAACAAGGGCTTGTCATCTGTGGTCACATGATCACAACAAGGGCTTGTCCGCTACAGTCACATGAGTACAACAAGGGCTTGTCTGGTAGGTTCCCATGATCACAACCAGGGCCCATCTGCTACAGTCATATGACCACAACAAAAACAACAAAGGTCTATCTGCTGTGGTCATATAATCAGCCTCAACAACAATGCTGTGGATGTGTGTCCTGGATACTTACAGGGTTATTACAAAAGGGTGGAGGGTCTGGAGAAGGCAGGAGAAGTGAACAATCTAGGACAAAATAGCTAATTTGGAAAAATTCTCCAATTCAGCTCACTTTCCAGTTCAGCTACAGTATGTTGTCCTAGATTGTTCACTTCTACTGCCTTCTCCAAACTCTTCACTCTTTTGTTAGATAACCCAAGAGCTGTGCTGGGGCCTTCAAATTGTACCTCAAGCTCTGGGAAATAAATTCAGCCAATCACAAGCAATACGTGAGATCTCTCGGGGTAATCCATACAGAAAATAAATGTAGAAAAAGAGTAACATTTACATATTTTTTCTAGCATAAGCATAATTAGCTGCAGACCCAAAATTGAAACAGAACTTTTATAACATTAAATTACAAAATACAGCATAGAAATTACAGATGACATTCTGACAAAAGTTTTCCTTTCCTAAGTATTCTAAATACAATACAATCTTCGTGGAGTCAGGGGGTCAGTTTACCTGATCATTACACCAAGCAAATATGGATAGGATGGTCACACCAAATATGAGGCCAGGCCAGGGCAGGTCCCCAGTGATTGGGTCACGTATTATGTGGAAGGCATCATTTCGGGGCAAATGACATGTTGTATTGGGGATAATCACTTTAGGTATGGCCTCCATATACTTCTGCTCCAGGCCTGGGTACCAGCCAATCTTGTGAAAAGCTTCAAAACAAATAAAATAAAATTGTGACGACGTTATTGTTACAAGTACAAGTACACAGTAGTAAGCTAATAGTAAACTAAATGCAAGGATTAATGGGCAAAGCATGTTTGCTTTAAAGTGTAAGCATGGCAATTTTTATTTTTAAGCTTTTATTGCTGTGTGTGTTCCCACTCGGAAGATTCAGCCTCTTTATTTGTCCTGGTAACCATTATCCTTGAGACAGGAAATGATGGAAAAATCCAACCTTTTTTATGTTGTCAACAGATCAAGAGGCAAAGGAAAATCCTCCAATAGGGACACCTGTTCTGGGAGAAATTCTGTTCACTTTGGAGAGATTTGCTATCATTACCTGTTTTGTCTGCAGGACAAAAAGGAAGGGAATCTCTGATAAGGGTTTAACACTTCCCGTCCATAACAAGGGGAACAAAAATTCTGCTTTAGATACACTTAAGGCGTGTTAGTTGTCACGTGGCTCCCTATGACCCAGGTCTGCCTAATTTCCTAAGGTAGTATAGGCTTAAAAAAAGCAATATAGCTCATATGGGTCTGTAAGGCTCCATCTTGAACTAGACATATACTTACATATGAAGGTGAGTGTAAGGGCACCTATCACAATGATGGCAGCTTGCAAAGTGTCTGTGTAGATTACAGCTGTCAGCCCACCTGGAAAACAAGTACAATTAGCAATTAACCCCACAGAATACAAAGAAACAAAAATTACAGGCAGTGCATGGTTTAACGTACAGTGGTACCTCGGTTCACAAACTCAATTCGTTACACTATTCTGGTCGTGAACCGAATCAAAGTGTGATCAGACTGCGATCTCGACTAGAGGAAGCCACAACCATGTGTCAGAGCAGGGAAGATGGCTGCGGTTGTGCGGGGTCACGAACGGAAGCACAATTTTGCCGAACTTCATGTTCTCCAACCGAATTGTTCGTGAACAGAAGAGTTCGAGGTACCACTGTATAACTGAAGGCAAAACTTTTTTTTTATCTAGGTGGATTGGTGAGGGGTTAAAACCACTGTCAGGTTTTATTGCAGTCTATTAGGGAATCTATTAGGGAGATTCAATTTTTCTATCTTACTAATTACCAATGACACTGGTATTGAAAGTGAGAGTAAAGCTGAAAGTGAGAGTAATACACTATGCACATTTTGGCCATTTCCTAATGAACCGTTCGAAATTTGCACAGTGGGTGCAGCTCTCTTCACCCTTTCATCTGGCATGCCTCGGTCAGCTGATTGAAGGAGCAGGCTGGAAATTCATTGAATGAACAGAACTGGCAGCCAATGAGCTGCAGGCTCTGTTGAGGTATTCTGACAACAGTCGGCGTCCGCTGTCGGAATACAATGAAGACAACGGGAGATTCCTTAATCAACACTCGTAAGCGTTGGTGGAGGATTCAGTATATTTTTTTTTTCGTTCAATCCACAGGTTGAATGAAGAAAATATTACAGTGTATGACCGGCTTTAAACCAAAATTTGGAGCTGCTACAAGAACAGAATAGTGGGGGAATCTTCCAATGGGGACACATCTTTCCATGACAGCTGTCTAAGAGGGATAATTTTCTCACATTTGAAACATACACCTCTCACTTCATGTTGAATTTACAGGACATAAAATTAGGGGAAATCTCCACAGATAAAAAGTAAAGTTTTAACTCTCCTCTACTGTTTAAATGGAAAAACATTCTTTTGGCACCCTTATTGCATAAGGTTAATGCTGTAGAGATGCAAACATGTCAGTGCTATTTATCAAGCATTACTAGCAGTTCATGATAGAATAATAGGAGGAGCTATCACAACAACAGGCACCTGCACTAGGGTTGTAAGAATTGTAATAAATTATGTTGATTGCCACCTGTCCAGATTCACCTGGACAGTCCGGGTTTTGAATCTGATATGTGCTGTTTAGGCCAGCTGAAACCTGGACACAAGATGTCACGATGTCAGACGGACAGGGGCAACAATGGGGTCCTGGTGTTCCAACTTGTGTGCATGGAGGTGTCATGGAACATGGAGGGATGCTGGAACTCGGGGAGCAAGGAGGTGTCTGAAACACAGAGTGCAGATAAGTCTAGAAGGGCACAGTGGTTCAGGCAGATGTGTTGCTCGCTGTCTCTCTTTGCTCTCTCTCCTGGCTGTCTCTTCTCGCTTTTTCCCCTGGTTGTCTCTTCTCGCTTTCTCCCCTTGCTGTCTCTCCTTGCTCTCTCCCCTGACTGTCTCTCCTCGCTTTCTCCCCACAGCTGTATCTCCTCATTCTCTCCCCTGGCTGTTTCTCCTCGCTCTCTGTCTCTTGGCTTCCTCTCCTCACTCTCTCCCGAATATTCTCAAAAAAATAGTTGCATGCGCTGTGCTAGAGTGTTCGGGTGTCGCTTGAAGACATGGTGGTGACCTTAATCTGCACTGGGGATAAAGGGTGAGCATGCAGTGGGGAAGATGGGGACAGATATCATGTATTTGCATACCTCTATGTTCTTATACATGATAAACAAAACCAGTACTTTGTATTAACCTGCAATGGTGTAAATTGCTGTAACGACGACCAGTATAATTGTAGACAAGTAAATGTCCCAGCCTAGAGAGACCTGAATGAAGAGTGCTCCTGCATATATATCTGTCTGAAACACAAGAACTGCGTGAGACAACAATGAACTCATTTTCTATTACATGTCTTTATCAGAGTCATACCAAATGCTCCTGTGTGATTGGTTACACTCACCGATATTTTGGTAAGTATGTAGAGAAGAAGGGAAAGCACTGACATATACATTTGGATGCGGTGACCACCAAAGCGTTTTTTTAAATACTCTGGCATGGTGATCACACCAGAAGCAATGTAGACAGGCATAAATATCCAGCCAAGTGCGATCAACACCCAGGTAGCCTAGTGGAAAAGCACAAAGATGTTTGTAGAAACATTGACAACTCCATATAGTGTAGCACAAACTGCAACAATGGGTACACATTTTTGCTTTCACCCATTTTTCTTTTCTTGTTCACTATTAGATATGCCTGTCTATAGCTCGTTTTATGTACTCATTCTAAGCTGAACCTGAGTTTGTGTTCAGGGACTTGTTTCTGCCAAGCTGCCTAATGGTTGGGTTGTAATACAAGCACTGGTCTGGGGTTGAATTGGAAAAGTAATTCTCTACCTACTCAGTGCCTGCTACTGCATGCTCTGTAAGAGTAATTTATCTGTGGAGGAGAGATGGGTGCACCGGCCAAAGCCATAGCAGATTCTGCACACAGTGGCCAAAGACATTTGCCTGCAGCCCTCTGTGGCTACTAATTGAAAACAAAAAGCCTTGGAATTCATTGGTAACAAACATTTTCACAGCATAGCTGGTCACCAGAAATATAGATACAGCTTTACTGTGGGGATATTACAGATCAGTATTAAACAGAACACAACATCATTTCTTACATTCCATTCAAAGCCTCCAACCGCCAAACCTCCGGATGCTCCAGAACTTGCCATTCCAACAAAAAGAGTGCTACCAACATTGCTGGACATGAGTGATGCTCCAATCTGTAAGAGAGACAAATATCAGGCTTGAAAAAGCATACCAAGGCAACAAGGAAAGGACCCATTGTAAGGCCAATGAAATTTAAAAAAGGGTCAGAGTTGATGGACCACTAGGTCTTCTTCTTTATGTAGTCACTATGTGCCAAACAGGACTCAGTTTTTCTCATTGTGCGTGTTAAACAGGCTTAGCAGGCTTTTTCCAGTACTTTGGGGTATCATTGCATGATGCTGTACAGCAAAATGCTATCTTCCTTAGAACTACAGAGTGAATACTTGAAATATAGCAGGATGAGAATTTGGGGCTACTTAAGAATTTAGAATACTAGCTGTACAAAGTGAATGATGCCAGGGTGGGAAATTTAGTGAGCATCATTTCATCATCGACTGGATTGACATCTTATGGCAGGGGTGATATGCACGGGGGTGTTTGCATACCCATAACTTAACCTCTTTTCTATCCAACCAACCCCCCAAAAAATGTAATAAATAATTCTAAAAAAGTTTTGTTTCGGCTACTTCACACATTTGTATTTTTGTATTTTCAATACTTTTATTGAACTGTTGTTACAACTTTCTTGTAAAACCAATAAACATATTGACCATAAAAAAGGGGAGCAGGGCGGCCATACAGCACGCTGGGGGCTCGAAGGTGAGAGGAAACGGATGCTCCCCGGTTCACCGAGGGGGAATCATCAGGCAAGGATCCTCACTTATTGATTGGTTTATTTGGACAGAATATACCCCTCACCTTGCACTGCCCAAAGTGACACATATGGTCTCGGCCTCTCCTCCCCTGGTCTGCTCTGGAGGGTATGGTTCAGGTGCTGCGCCTGGTTGGGGCCGCAGGGACGCACACGCATCAAATTCACAGATAACTTCCTCCTCTTGAAAAAGCGCCGTCAAGCGCGAAACGTCGAGACAATTTGTGCTCCTCCACTGTCAGTGATCCTTATTGCTTATCTTCGATCATGTGTTCAAATTCAACCAATTAATTTTCCAATCATGTTTTGAAATTATTTGATCATGTTATTTTTGCCATTGAATCATGTCTTGTATATCTGATACTGTTAAATCAAATCATGTTATTTACACCTAAGGGACAGTACAGTAATGGAGTGAGCCTCTAGGAAGTTATCAATTTGGTTTTATGTAATTACCCTGTTTTTAAATTATTATATACCAATAAATATATTTTTTTTATAAATTCACCGCTTTGGAAGTTGTCAGTTGATGCCTACAAAACCCAAGCTTTTCTTTCTTTTTTGATAAAAAAAGGGGAGAAGAAATCTTTGAAAGTCTTCAAAGAGAATAATGCGTTCGTTGATAATGTACCCCCACAACCAACGGCCCAGGGCTTGTGGGGAAGAGGCCCTTGTCCCTGGGGCGACCCTGGAAAAGCACCCTTCCAGTGCTGAGGGCATGTGGCCTGGTATGGGAGGAAGGGGGATCGTTCGTCCCTCCCCCTTTAGGCTCTGCCAGGCCTATCAAGGGTCTGGTATGGAATTTCGCGCTCCCCCCCCCATTTTGGGGGGGTGTGGTTCCTCCTTAAAATTCCTACCAGACCTTAAGGGCTCAGTATGACTTCAAGGAAGAAACCCACACAATTTTTTTTTTTTTTTTTTACACGGGGTCCCTCCTAAATATTCCTACCAGACCTTGAGGGTCTGGTATGACTGTTAGGGGGAACCCCACACTTGAAAAAAAATCGGTCCCTCCTAACATTCCTACAAGACCTAAGATGTCTCCTATTGTTTGGGAGGGGGAAGGGAACTGCATGCTTTAAGAATAAAAAAAAAAAACTCTTTTTTTCTTTAGAGGTTCTATACATCGTACAGATTTGCCACTTACAGCCAGGTTAAGGGGACCCCTTAGGCATGATATTTAAAGGAATTTTTCATTTTTATTGTTACCCTTTAAGTGATGTTAAAATCACTGCTCCTTTAAAAACACTATTTTTGAAAAGGTTTTTTTTCATTGATTCCTGTCCCCCAGTGCAGTACCCCAAACCCTTTTTATGGCCAAAACCTTGCATATAAACCCTCTTAAATGGGACAACCCCCATTGACTTGCATTGAGTTCGAATTCAAACTTTTTGGATGTTCTAAAGTTCAAATGCGAACCGAACTCGGGCCTGTTCGGCCCATCACTAGCCAACTATAAGTAAAAGTCAACTAAACCAATCACAAAAGTGATAACCCTATGAAATAGAATGCCTTAACCAATACATCTTCCAAATCCAGAATCACTAAGTGCTTGTTCACACTATGTCCGTTGAACTGCTTTTTCTGCATGCTCCTGGACATTCTTGGTATGAACAGGGCACATAGAAACCAATTTTTTTCCATGTCCCTTGTTTACACCATACATGTGCAATGGGAGCAGGAAAGGGCAGCTTAATGGACATGGTGTAAACAAGTCCTAAAAGCAGAACTCCAGCCAAAGCTTTATCACTCTGGAAAGTGTGGGGATAGGTTGGAACCTTTTTTCTAGATCCTCATTGGAGAACATACTTCTCATTTCCTGCCCTGGCATCCATTGTGTCTACACAGGAACTGAGAAGATGTCTCCCCAACTGGTAGGATACAAATAGCAGTAAAACCCTTACAGAGGTTCTAAGCCTTTCCTACTACAATCAATACAAAAGGCTAGATTTCTATTTTATAGTACTATACGAAAAAATATATATAAATAGTGTAATATCAAGACCCTCTATGAAAAATCAGACCTACCTATAAATCTTGTAAAGGCAATAAATAATAGTGACAAACGAATATTTGTTATATCTAATAAACAGTATAAACTCAATCACAGTTCATCTACCATCTACTGTATCTGCTATAGACATCATTAAAACAAAGTCCAAGTGCAGAACAAGCATGCATGGTGCCTGCCAGTGAGGTACAACACCAAGTCCAAAGGTGTTTGTAAAGACTTCCACATGTAATCATCACCCGGGGCCTGCCAATGTTGTTTTAATCTGTGACTTATTACACAATAGTGCAAGCTGTAAGATAGTAAATAATGTTCTGAACACTGAAATCTACTTCAATATACAATCAATGTACAGCCAGATGCTTTTCCCATATATTTGTTCCGTCTCACCAAGCAAACACTCTGAGGTGTTTTTTTTTTAAATTCAAGAAATTTTTATTGAATATAAAATTAAGACAACATTCTGAGGTTTGTTTTATAGTGTGCAATGGATACAACCTCTCAACAATTATTGCTGTGACCCCATTTGGGAGATTTCACCTTATTTCCTATTTGTCCTTGTCAGACAGAACAGGAACTCAGGAGAGATCTCAACAGGAGCTCAGACATCAATAGTTCAAATTCTTCTTTATTCAACCCAGAAAGTAAAAAAAATAAGGGATGGGCAACAGTAATTTAACCATGAATAATGGTGTATGGATGCATAACCAGCTAATTTATATACTTTAGAATTCCTGCAGTCTCAGTGCTTAGAACTTAGAGAATATGAAAAACCATCCTATTTTTATTTTATTTTTTAAACCTCTGCCACAGAGCTCAGTGGTCCGAGTATCCATTGATCTACCCAGCACTTGAAAAAAGAACACTCATGCTGCCTGAGTGCTAATGTTGATTAAGGGGGTTATTCACAAAAGGGTGAAGGGTTTGGAGAAGGCAGGAGAAGTGAACAATCTAGACCAAAATAGCTGATTTGGAAAAATTCTCCAGTTCAGCTCACTTTCCAGTTCAGCTATGTTGTCCTAGATTGTTCACTTCTCCTGCCTTCTCCAAACTCTTCTCCCTTTTGTGAATAACTCCCTAAATTTTTATTAAAGCACTTTGAAAAGGGACGGTGGGGATCGATCTGTTATAAATCTGGACCACTCTGCCTTCCTTACACCTTAGCCCTCACTTATTATTGGTAATGCTGTCTGACTGTGTTGTAGTAATAAAGGAAGGTTCAATTGGGTTTTAAGCCACTCTTTTAGGATTTCTTTTTCCAACTTTGGCTTTAAATTGACATAACGTAAGCATCTTATGTCATATTTATTCCTCTGACTTTAAGTACCAAGTACTAGTTTCTTACCATAATCATTAAGGTGTATATTTATGAAGCACTGAATATGTCTTTCACCAAACGTTCATTGGTGGTGAATGAATCACTGTGAATGTCACCGCTTTAAAATATATGCCCCAAGTATATTCCACTTACGCTAATTTATGTAAAAATCCTGATCTTTTACCAATGGTTACAGTTCTTGTCAGGTTCTTTTTTTGACTGGGGGTACTGTATTTGCCTTACTTTCAGTCCCTGAGACACAACAGGAAGCGAAGGGAATACCTCCCAGACAGTAGTCATTAAAACACCCACATAGCAAGCGATTGAGCTGCAAGTTTGAAAATGACTTGCTAAACTATTGCTAGAGTTGCCAAACTTCACAATTTTGTTTTCTGTTGGCTAATTCTTCTTGATATCCTTCTACTTTCCCTGCCCAGGCCACATAGCGGATGGTTCAAGAGTTACCCCAATACACTTCACAAAATATTATTGTAGGTTTGTTTGGTTCAGTAAGGGGTGATACAGTTGCTGAAATCAATAAGTAGCAATTTAGTTTTTTTTACCACAAAAATAAACAGAAAATAAAATATTATTATACAGGATATAACAGTTTGTGCAGCGCTTTACGATATAAGGAAGACATCACTGTTACAATACAATTCAAAACAAGATGGTAAGAAGGGCCCTGCTGGTGAGAGCTTGCCATCTAAAAGGAAGGGGCAAGGGACACAAGAGGTGGTAGCTGTCTGGGAATGAGTTGTTTGAGAAAGTAAAATATTACAGTGAAAGGAACATTGATGGATATACCGAAAAATACTTACAGGCCACCATGTCATAGTTTTTCCGGCAAGGAAATATCCTCCTACAGTTCCACGGCTGGCCCGCACTGAAGACTGGAAAAGACAGATTCACGAATAAACATCTTCCAGGGATTGATGGAAATATATGGCTGGTAAAGTTGACCTTTTGTGAATTAAAGGAGAACTATGGGGTTAAGTATTTTCCCCATAGTTCTCCTTAGGGTAACGGGAGGACACAAACTAGCGTCCTCCCCTCACCCTAGGCTCAGTATACCGCGAGCTGTAGCTTGCGGTATACTGAGACACTGCAGTATACCGCGAGCAGCTGCTCGAGGTATACTGAGATGCTGCGGCTGAAGCGGATCCCGACAATTGTGCTGTGATCCGCCCAGCTGCGTGACTTCCTATCGAAAGGCAGAGCCAGCTGTACCCGCCCCCTCACCCATCCGTTCCGCCAGTCAGCGCTGGCGGATCGGAGCGGGGAGGGGGGGAATCCAGCCCCTCCCCTGTCACGGCAGAGAGCCGTGACAGGATCGAGAGGTGAGCGAACGCCGGTATGTGTTCGCTCACCTCCCGATCTACTGAGCCGACCTGTAACAGTCTCATTGTCACAGGTCGGCTAGAACTATGAGGTGAGTGAAAAGCACTCACCTCATAGTCCTCCTTTAATCAACCTTTTTATGACCTGGAACAATTTTCTTTGGAAAGTTTGGGATCTGGATACCCTACTAATGGCCCAGGGGCTGTATTGGCCCTCAAACGCCTATCTTTATGGTGTATGACACAAGCAAAGCTTGGAAGCGTTTTTTACATTAAATTCTCAAAGCATATTGAAGAAAGTCACTCCATCATTCCAAGGTACTGCCATTACCCTAATTTTGTGTTTTCAGGAATAAGTGGGACCCATGGCATATTATCAAAGCCCTACTGAAGTTACAGAAATATTCATGCACTCAGATAAACAATGGGAAGAATTGATCAAAACTGGAACAGGCGGAATCTGGAGCAGTTGCCCATGGCAACCAATTAGCATCTCTCTTCAGTGTGCTCAGGTAAGATTTGAAAATGTGAGATCGAAGCTGATTGGTTGCAGTGCAAATCTGTACCAGATTTTGTCTGCTCCAGTTTTGATAAATTCCCCCCAATGTACTTATAAATTCAATTTTCAGCCCTACCTTCACTTTCCTGCTACAACGATTGTGCAGGGGGTCCAGATAGGATTGTGCAGGCACCAGAAGAAACCCAGTGTGCTCAGTAATCAGCTCTCAGTAGCAGACCCGACCAGATTAAGTCCCCTGAAAATCCTGGCGTTCCACTTTAATAAGTACATGTAGATGTTTATAAATAAAACATAAAAATAAACCATTTTGAAATGAACTAGAAGCCAATTACGAGAGTTAGGAGGCAAATATGTAGCATTTGACATTCCAATACCCGGTGCCTGCATTGCCCATAGCATCTGATTATTATTCTAGAAGATACATTTGGACAGAAGTAATCTTATTCTTTGTTCTGATTTTCTAAAACAGCTTAAAACACACAGTTACAGACGCAGGAAAAAGAATGACTCACCCATATCCCAACCACAAAGACAAATACAAAGTAAATGACAAGCACAACAATGTCTGCTATCCCAAATGTCGGCTTCTCAGGCCCCAGCGATGGTGCCTGCGTACTATTCTCCATGCTGCTCAGTGAAGTGGCCATGTACCAACGAAGAAGAATCAATTTATCTTTTGTTGACCAATAAAGTGTTAATGACTAACAATGTTGATCAATGTGCACATTTATTATGACTAAGGGAAACAGAATATGTGATAAGTGTCAGCTGGCATCTGATTGAGACTAGCAAGGTTATGCCAACCAGCAAGGGGCACTTATCTAACAGATAACCTGCTTCTCTAGGACAAAGGGCGGCCTCTCCAGGGCCACATGGCTACCAACTGTGGTGAACTGGCTTCTGCGGATTAGCAGACCTTAGCACCACCATGCTAGCTCTAGTGTTGACACTTTAAAACTGGACACACATCACTTTTAGAGTGTTTCTGTATGAGTAATCTGCTTGATAATTACATTCACTTAAAGGGGAACTTTACCCTTATCTTCAAAATAACAACAAAGGCACTTTTAGGCCTCTTTCACACTGTAATCGTCCAGCACGTACAGCTCCGTGCTGCGTGCCGGGCCGTATGGAGCAGCTTACGGGAAGGACAGGTGCCCTGTGTGATTAGTACGCAGCCCCTGTCCTATATGGGCCTACAGGGCTGTACATTCCCCAATGCTCACCTCAAGTGCAGGTCCGTAGGGGTGCGTGTTTCCTGGCTCGGACGCAGACAGGATCCATCCTGTCAGCATACAAGTACGCTCGACCGCACCCACGTGTAGGGCGGGTGAGCGTACGGCCCGGTAGTCCCATAGAGAAGGACGGGGGCTGCGTACTAATCAAACGCAGCACCTGTCCTTCCCCGGAGCTGCTCGATACGGCCCTGCACGCAGCATGGAGCTGTACGTGCCAGCCGATTACAGTGTGAATGAGGGCTTAGAAATGTTTACTAATGACAATTGACAAACAGATACTTATACCGTAGATAATTGCTGGCTATGCCTCATTTTTCTTTTCCTCCTCATTCTTCTGACAGTGGCCATTTTTATTATGGGCAGATTACTGTATCTCTCTTTACTCCCTGGAACTCTGGCACATGTGACCAGGACATGTGACCATGCACATCATCTCAGAGAAAGAAAATGCGTTCCCTGAGAAAGTTCCCTGAGAACTCATGAGATTTCCCAGCAATGCTCTCCTGATGTAACCTTCCCAGGGTGCAGCACTTGTGCACAGTTACATTGTGCCCAAGTGGACCAGGAAGTGGAAAAAAAGAAATTGTAGGTAAAACAAAAATATGTTTGTTTAGCTGAATAATGTAAGATGATTTTATATCAGCATGCAGAGCTGTATGCTGATGTGATTTTTAGTGAAAGGGGGTAAAGGTACGCCATCAAGTATATTTTCACATGTGCAGTTGAATTTGGGAAAACCTACTATGTGTTTTTTTACTCCCATCCAAGCGGCATAGTTATAAATACATTTTAAAAATAAGTCCATCCTTTCTAGATGTTTGTTTGGAGCAGATTATATGCAGGACACTACAGGCAGCTTCTAGCTGGCAATGTGTAGATAAGGGGCATTTGTTTTTGTTTTTTTGTTTACATACAAGGTAACACCCAAGCCTTGAGATATTTAACTCTTTGTTAGGACAGCCAGTGTAAACATCTTGTTTAATGGATAACTCCAGGCAAAACTTTAATTAACCCTTGCAGTGGGGCTATCCCCGCACTGCAAGGGTCACATCCAAGATGGCGGTACCCAGCAGCTTTCAGATGTCTACACAAGGCAGGCAGGCTTTTACAGATAAAGTATATACAATAGGTTGAATATTTAAAAGTTAAATTGGACTTTTTCCATCTGACAATAGGCTAAAAATGTATAGGTGTATGTCCAGCTTAACCTTTGCCTGGTGATTTATATTGCATTATCAAATTGAGCCAAGGATGCGTTTCTGGGACAACCCTCTCCCTTCATCAGACCATGCACAGTATTAAGATGTATATTAAGTGCCTACTCATTCATGCATATGCATACGTATTACACACATGCATTCAGTAGTTTAAAGTTTGCATAGAAAGCGTTAGGCTTCATTCACACTACTAACAGCCGGCCCATACAGATCCGTGCTGCGTGAACGGCTGCATCGGGCTGCTCCAGGGAAGGACAGGTGCTGTGTGCGATAGCACGCAGCAGCCTGTTCTTCTCTATGTACATGGCCGTACACTGCCATACGCTCACCCGAACTGCACACCCATACCTTTTCTAAGTAAACCGCAAGTCAGGTCATTGGAAATGTCGAGGAGTTGGAGGTTTCGACAGAACACCGGTCTTTACTAGATGCATCATGCTGGACAGAGACAAAGGGCAGAGCACCTGAGATAGAACATCAGATGATCTACATGCATTGAAGTCTCCGCACTGTGCATCACACCTCCGCACTGTGCGTCACACTGCTGTACTCTGCGTCACACCGCTGACCTCTGCGTCTCCCCACTGACCTCTGCACTCTGTGTTACATTACTGACCCCTGTACTCTGCGTTACATTTCAGACCTCTGCACTCTGTGTTACATTACTGACCTCTGTACTCTGCGTTACATTTCAGACCTCTGCACTCTGTGTTACATTACTGACCTCTGTACTCTGCGTTACATTTCAGACCTCTGAACTCTGTGTTACATTACTGACCTCTGTACTCTGCGTTACATTTCAGACCTCTGAACTCTGTGTTACATTACTGACCTCTGTACTCTGAGCTATTACTGACCCTCTGCCAAGACATCAGTCCTGTACCTCGCAGCAGAGTGCCAGCACAGAGTATGTACCAAACTATACTATCATACTGCATGGTTGTATAATGTATTGCTGGGATTTGTAGTCATCTATAGATGATGGTATTCTGCATTAGAGTGTAAGCTTCTCTGTACAGAGACTGATCTGACTGGCTAGTGTGCAACTATGGAGGGACATTAGAGTGTAAGCTACTTTAGTGCAGAGACCGCCAGGGGGGTCAGGTGGCCGGTGAAATCTGATCCCAGCACCCCCCCCCCCTTTGGAGTGAGAAGGGGAGGGGGCAGAAAAAATATTTCACCAGGGCCCTTTTTGCCTTTGGTCTGGTGGGAGCAGAGGGGAAGTGGGGAACAGTGGGAGCAGAGGGAAGATGTGGGAGCAGGGGACAGTGGTAGCAGAGGGGAGATGTGGGAGTAGAGGGGATGTAGGGGGACAGTGTGACTAGAGGGAAAATGCGGGAGCAGGGGGGATGTGAAGGACAATGTGACCAAAGGGAAGATATGGGAGCAGAGGGGAGATGTGGGAGTAGAGGGGATGTCAGGGACAGTGTGACTAGAGGGAAGATGCCTAAGCAGGGGGAATGTGAAGGACAATGTGGCCAGAGGGAAGATGTGGGAGTAGAGGGGATGTGAAGGACAATGTGGCCAGAGGGAAGATGTGGGAGCAGAGGGGATGTGGGCAACAGTGGTAGCAGAGGGGAGATGTGAGAGTAGAGGGGATGTGTGGGACAGTGGGACCAGAGGGGAGATGTGGGAGTAAAAGGGATGTGAAGGACAGTGGGACCAGAAGGGAGATGTGGGAATAGAGGGGATATGGGGACAGTGGTAGCAAAGGGAAGATGTGGAAACAGAGGGCATGTGGGGGAGAGTGGTAGCAGAAGGGAGATACGAGAGCAGAGGGGATGTGCGGGAGAGCGGAAACCCTCCATATCTGCCCCTGCTGAGACCCTCCACATCATTGTTGTGTAATGAATTGCTGGGAATTGTAGTCCTCTATAGCTGATGTACTTGGTCCCGCCCATGCCCGTACCGAGGTACAGACATGTATTAATGGATAGGAGGCAGAGTTAATTGACTATAAGTGCAGTGCATAGGCAGCTGTCTTAAGGCGCAAAAATGCACCTTCGCTTGTGTAGGCAAAAATCCTTGCACCGGCCCTGAGTGTGTATTTCTGACATAATCTGCTGCACAGTTAACACTGTACACATCATACACTGTTCAAAAGGAACTTATAGTGTAACAACTGCACCAGTAATATATGGAGGAAAGTCTTGTTTATTGTCTCTATAAAAGTGGAATGGATAAAAATAAGGAATAACATGATCATATTACAGTTGAGCTGATAGTAGACCCACCCTGTAAACATAAGTGTTTGCACTACACACTGCATATCGCACAGTGGGGAATGATTCAACCGATCAGTTGTAACATTTTCAAACTGGGGTCCCCTCATACCTCATTAAAAACAACAGGGTCATGTTGGCTAATTAGGTGCTAATTTGGTGCTAATGTTTCACCCCTTTCAAGTCTTACACGTAAATTTGTGGTTCCTAACTTAGAAGTATGATGGGGTTATGGAAGGACACCTCTGAATTGTTAAAAAAAAATATGCTAGATTACATTATTAACCATCACTGGTATTTAAGTGACACTAAATTCAGGTGTTACATTTTAAAAATACATTCAAGTACCCTATTAACAAAAGTGTATCTCATTTGTGCATCACTTAGTTGTAGATCATCAAATCATCTCTGAAATGGTGCTGACACTGTCCTTCCTTCTGGAGGGTGGCTACTTTTTTCCCCATGGTCTCTGGGTCCCATAGTCACCGCTCCAAGCTCACTCCCGTGATGGACTACAATCTCATGTTTAGTTAACTAATTTGTATCAAGATTGCAGTCTATCCCACACATGAAGAGCGCTACGGGGACCCACTAGAAAACGAGAAACAGAACATTTTTAAAGAAAGATTTATAAAAAGGTGGGCCTCCTAGATCTAAAAATAATAAAAAATGAAGCTTTAATATCACCTTAGGGTACTTGAATGCATTTTTAAGATTTAACTCCTGAGATTAGTGTCACTTTATAACAAACAAATCAGTGATCTGATCACTCGGCCCAGGTGCTGTCACACACCTATATTAGTTAGGCTGGTGTATTTGTGAATTCACAGTTTTATATAAATACATATATCCCCTGATATTCCTTCAACTGTTCTCTACCTAACCAGTCATATAGTAAAATCAAACTAAACTGCTCAAAAAATTAAAGGAACACTTTGAAAACACATCAGAACTCACTAGGAAAAAATATCATGCTGGATATCTACTGCATACTGAACTGGGTAATGTATTAGGAACGAAAGGATGCCACATCATTTGATCGAAAGGAAAAATTATAAACCTACAGAGGGCTGGATTTAAAGACACCCCAAAAATCAAAGTGAACAAATGATGCAGCAGGCTAGTCCATTTTGCTGAAATTTCATTGCAGCAAATCAAAATGGTACTCATTAGTTTGTATGGCCCGCAAGTGCTTGTATGGATGCCTAACAATGTCAGGGCATGCATCTAAAGAGATGACGGATGGTGTCCTGGGGTATCTCCTCCCAGATCTAAACCAGGGCATCACTGAGCTCCTGAACAGACTGAGGTGCAACCTGGCGTCGTCGGATGGACCAAGACATATTGTTCCAGAGGTGTTCTATTGGATTCAGGTCAGGTGAGCGTGGGGGCCATTCAATGGTATCAATTCCTCCATCCTCAAGGAACTGGCTGCATACTATCACCACTTGAGGCCGGGCATTGTCGTGCACCAGGAGAAACCCAGGACCCACTGCACCAGCGTAGGGTCTGGCAAGGGGCCCAAGGATTTCATCCCGATACCTAATGGCAGTCAGGGTGCCATTGTCTAGCCTGTAGAGGTCTGTGCGTCCCTCCATGAAAATGCCTCCCCAGACCGTCACTGACCCACCACCAAACCGGTCATGCTGAACGATGTTACAGGCAGTATAACGTTCTCCACGGCTTCTCCAGACTCTTTCACGTCTGGCACATGTGCTCAGGGAGAATCTCAATTGTGAAAAGCACAAGGCTCCAGTGGTGGACCTGCCAATTCTGGTGTTCAATGGCAAATGCCAATCAACCTCCACAGTTGCAGGCACTGAGCCCAGGGCCCATTAGAGGATGTGGGGCCCTCAGGCCACCCTCATGAAGTCTGTTACTGATTGTTTGGTCAGACATTCACAAAAGTGGCCTGCTGGAGGTCATTTTGTAGGACTCTAGCATTGCTCATCCTGTTCCTCCTTGCACAAAGGAGCAGATACCAGTCCTGCTGATGGGTCAAGGACCTTCTACGGCCCTGTCCAGCTCTCCTAGAGTAACTGCCTGTGTCCTGGAGACCCCTCCATGCTCTTGAGACTGTGCTGGGAGACGAATCAAAACCTTCTGGCAATGGCACATATTGATGTGCCATCCTGGAGGAATTGGCATGCCTGTGCAACCTCTATAGGGTCCAGGCATCGCCTCATGCTACCAGTAGTGACACTGACTCTAGCCAAATGCAAAACTAGTGAAAAACAGTCAGAAAAGATGAGTAGGGGGGAAAATGTTAGTGGCCTCCACCTGTAAAACCATTCCTGTTTGGGAGGTCACCTCATTGTTGCCCATCTAGTGCACCTGTTTATTTCATTAACACTAAAGCAGCTGAAACCGATTAACATCTCCCTATGCTACTTAACTGACCTGATCAATATCCCAGGAGTTTAATTGACATGATGTTATACTATGATTAAAACGTGTTCCATTAATTTTTTTGAGCAGTGTACTTACATCCATTGAAGTCATACTGGTACCTAATAAGAGTGGTGATTACAAAACGGTATTGGAACATATTGGGCATTGCATCCATTGTGGGTATTTAAAGTTAAAAGGCTTAAAAACCTCTGTAGTATATGTTTTTACATCATATATAAGAACATAAAGGAATGAAGGAAAGGGAAATGGCTCTTGCAACTGTACAGTTGGTAAGGTAAGTAGCAGTCATGGCTGGGTCTTCAAACCTTATAATCCCAGAAACAATTGCCTCCACTCTAGTTATTCCCTACAGTGAAATGTAAGTAGTTATCGGTTGTTTTAGGTTTTTGTAGGTATATGTTCATTGCTGTTTGCCACATTGTATAAAGATCATTTATTGCACATGTTGCTTTCTTTTCTAGTTGGAGTTGTGTATCTTGCCAGACCTACACAATGGAAATTGACCACTCCTTTAAATTAGTCACTGTTACTGTCCACAGTTATTTTAGGCAAAATATCCCCAGAGGAAAACATTGATAGCAAGAAGGATGACAGCATTAACATTGCACACATTTCTCCATAATGGCTCTTCTTCAATACTAGTCAGCTTCTTCTTTAATTTCGCTTCTTCCTCTTCAGACAGTTTGACTTCAGGCTGCATAGACAATCCACAGAACCAGAAATAGACCTTCTTCCACCAAGGGAATGAAGCAGCTGCAATCAGAATGTGAATATTATCATTACAAGAACACAATGTGGAGCAAATTCCTGTCCTCAATAGAACCAGAGGCGTAGTGGCAGGCTACTGTGGAAAGGGTCAGGGAGAGGGGAAGATACTTTCAAGTCAGATTAGAGGAAAAACACTAAAGATTTTCTCTCGACAAAAGTCATATGTCTTAAACTGACCATAAGCCTAGATTATCTGCAGATTTTCTATGGTCAGATGGAAAAAGTGCAACAGATTCCTCCATCTACGCTAAACTGTGTGGATGAAGGAATCTTCCACTGGGCCAAGTTTCAGTATCTTGTTAGTCAGCCCCACTGGCTCTTAAAATATCTGAACAATGCCTGTATCCAATCAGATTGTTCAGGTGTTTTGACAGCCAGCGGGGCAGACTAGCAAGATACTGAAGCTTGGCCCAGCGGGAGATTCCTCCATCCACACAGTTTAGCGTAGATGGAGGAATCTGTTGCACTTTTTCCATCTGACCATAGAAAATCTGCCGATAATCTATAGGCGTATGGCCAGCTTTACACCGGAAATTTCCCTCAGCCTAACCACATAGTGCTACGTTAGTATCATACAAATGGCACTAAAGCCCTCAGCATTGAGGAACAAGGTGTATTGCCTTCCGTTCCTTCTTTCTTCAGAGCATAAGATCTACTGCTAAATGACAGCATATGAGTGGTTTGAATGGCTTATGCAGCACTATACAGAAAGCACATGGTTAATATAGTAGACTGGTCAACAAACAATATACTAAATGTCTCTTTTCAAAGTGCTCAGCTTTCTCTGAGATAATACACTTTTCACTCACCATCACTCACTGATTTCTGCTCCATGATGGATGAACTGTCTTGTTTCAATTCTACTTGTGGTTCTACTAATCCCCTTGCTGTAAGAGTAAGCAAAAGTTAAGCTTTAAACTGTCTACATAAAGGCAAGTCTATAAACATGCATTCCTATTCTTTACAAATACTAAATTGGCTTTAAACCAGAAATAAATGCTAGGAGCCTGTGGGAAACAGAACCCCCCGATTCATGTAAGTGGGTGAAGGGGGAGACATGTGCTGGTGATGTGACCATGTTTCATGCTACACCCTGAATATGGATGCAACATGAAACATGCTATTAAAGGTAAATTTAGCCTTTGAAGTGGAAATAAAAGAATCATCCTATATGTCTATATCTTTTTTTTAAAGTTTGACTTTATATATACTTCAATTAAAAAAAAATATATAATTTGAAGCCTTTCGAGCATTATCACTCCAGTCAAGGGCACCAAATACCCACAATCATGAAGAAGGATTGCCAAAGATTGACATTCGACTATCAGACTGCCTGGTAAATGAACCTGCACATCAGCAGTATAACAGTTGAATGAAGTAACATGAATTACCTGGCTCTTTTTCAATAGGTGGTTTGCTGGAAGATATTGCAGAAATGTCTGATAACTTTTCTTGTTCTTCCAAGTAAGTATTTTTTTCTGGTCTGTTTCGTGTCCACCAAGTGAAACGACCAAGCTAAGCAAATTGAAGGAAAATACAATGACTGACTCAGAATAGCAAGTCAAGAAAGACAGTTTGCCATGAGAACCTGCATGAAACAACCGAGTCTCACTCTTCTTTCTGCAATTTTAAAAAATGTGAAAACTCCAACATAGATACAGACATCCTTTTTAAAAGACTGCTGCAAGCAGGTGGGTCTGATGACAGGTGTGAAGATCTCACCAGTGCCACTGAATAGTACAACAAGCAAGTGGGGGAATCAACTTAAAACACCCAAAACTCAAATGTGCATTTTTGGTAGAAAGAATTTTCTATTGCATAGCACTAAGTAGAAGCCAATGGGTCTTACCTCCTCTTCAGACATGGCTGGGGTAAACAGGCTGATCACAATGCAGATAATGGTTGTCAACCCGAAAAGAAGGATTGCAAAATACAGGTAGTGAACATTTTTCAGCACAGATGGACGTGTGTCCTCCTCTCCGCAGTTTGGGGCTCGATATACAAAATCCATAATCATTCGAATCAAACCCACTACCAGCCCGATGATCAGACCCCAGAAAGCTCCCTGCAGAGACAAAAAATACAAGTAACCAATGTCACTAAACCTGCATCTGGGGTTTTGAAATAAACAAAATGCCATAATGGAAGATCATAAATGGGCAAACTTCCTTTGTTTTCCAGTTATGAAGGTTTTGGATTTTGATGTTAAAGAAAACCTGTACCATTGCTGACCGCTCCTTCTGAAAATACTGCTTGGCTGGTTTTTAATGCATCACCGCCTCTACAAGTAGATGAGCGAGTCATTGCTTTCCCAATTTGCTCAGCCTCCAGATGGAGGAACACATACAAGCAGGTGAGTGTTTTCCCTGCACATTTTAGTACTTTCTTGTTAGCAACAGGATTGCTATTGTAAAGTTGCCTTGCTGCACATCTTACTGGCGACCCCAATTCAACGATGGGGGAGTGCGGATGGTGCCGCCAGACAATATTCGTATATAAATGTCACCAGCACACCATGAGTATTAAAGTCCAAAGTGCTCGCTTTTTTAAAAAGTCATGTCAGGAGATCTAGCACTTTGGGGCCGTGCAGGGTCCCCTTCAACAGACTCAGCAATTACATCCAATGTCATTGCTGAGCCTGATGAAGGGGCCCCCTTCTCGGACCTGAAAGCGCTAGTTCTGCTGACATGACATTTTAAATAAACACTTTGGACTTCAATACTCTTGGTGTGCTGGTGACATTTATCTACTAGGATTGCTAGTGTAGCATGGGCCTTAGAACTCCTGATGTACATCTGTACTAGTAAAAGAGTATTGACTTATAAAGTACTGATGTAGAATGCAACGTATATATCTAATTACATAGGGTCCTTATGGGTGATATAAGTCAATGGTGCTTTAACTCTCCAGGATATACCAAAAGATATGTTTGGGGTTGCTGATCCTTTGTTAGTACATTTGGTAATCAGACCCTGCAAAGACTGTAGTACATGGCTAACCAAAGTTTGGGAAACACAAAGATACCTGAAAGCAAATTTAGGAACAAGAAAGTAATTCCAAAACCAAATTAGTTATAAAAAGTGTCATCAATTAGATGCCCATGGCCTCAAGCCATGACTAAGACCTTTACAGTCTTGCATCTTACTATATTGGCATTATATAATAGTTTGAAACATTTAGGTGGCATACTTACTGATTCATTGACTCTCTTGACAAAAATTGCCAAAATAAATATGGCAGTCACTGGTGGGGAGAGGTAGCTAGTAACAGATTGCATATAATCAAACAGTAGCCCGCTGTTTGCTGCTTGGATAATGGGGATCCATACGATGCTTATAACCACTAGTATAACTATGAACACTCTGCCAAGGAGAACATACAACACAATGTTAACACAACTTTACAGGAAATGTCAGATGTACAAGCCCAATATTAATA